GGAACTGATTGTTCCTTCCTAAGTGGAGCACTTTGCATTTCTCTTTATTAAACCTCATCCTGTTTATCTCTGACCATTTCTCTAACTTGCTAAGGTCATTTTGAATTATGTCCCTATCCTCCAAAGAAGTTGCAACCCCACCCAGTTTGGTATCATCTGCAAACTTAATAAGCATACTCTCTATCCCAATATCTACATCATTGATGAAGATATTGAACAGTACAGGTCCCAAAACAGACCTTTGCGGAACTCCACTTGTTATCCCTTTCCAGCAGGATTTAGCACCGTTAACAACAACTCTCTGACTACGGTTATCCAGCCAATTATGCACCCACCTTATTGTGGCCCTATCTAAGTTATATTTGCCTAGTTTATCAGTAAGAATATCATGCGGGACCGTATCAAATGCCTTACTACATGGTCCAGTGGGTCCATGATGTGGGTCTGGGCTTGCAGGGCCCCCAGGTGCTGCTCGTGGTACCTCTGCAGTGTTGCAGTGGTCCTGCGGAGCCTTTGGGTGTGGGAGCATGTCTTGGGCGGGAGAGTGCACCCTGCACGTGCAGCTGGTGTGTCTGTGGAGAAAGAAGAGAAGTGGCCAGTTCTCCCTGGCGGGACAGTGGGTGAAGCCCAGCCCCCTCTGCGAGGTGAGGACGACCGTGCCCTGCATTGTCAGAGCCATTGGGCTTGCACAAAGGCCATGTTTGGAATGTCCGGCTATCCCTGGGAGTGGGAGGTGCCCCGAGACCGCACCCATGCCCCTGTCCCATGTATAGTGCGGCTGAGGTGGAGGGAGATGTACCCTGCCTCTGTGAAGAGGGTGTGTGTGAAGGGAGGGCATCCTGCTGTGTCCCACCCCGCGGTCAGGAGCATGTCAGGTCTTTTCACACATGCGTGTGCCTATCAGGCCATGGCCCCTGGGTGTCAGGCAGCTGGAGCCACCTGCCCAAGGGTAGCATGGCATGTGCTCGAACGTGCACAGGTTGCTGCGTGATGTGTGGTAGGCAAAGCCCACGCGCACGGTCCCTGGTCTCCCTCTCTGCCCCCCCCCCCCCACCCAGGGGGCGGGGA